TGGCGAATCCGCCGCGATGTGTATTTTTGAATTTCTGCCTGGATGACCTGAACTCGTTGTTTCAGAACGGCCCCAAGCCGTTTCGCCTGGGGATGCGAGGGCTCGGGGGTTAAACGGAAGCCCATCTGAATATGATGGTGGCCTCCGTTGATCCACATCCGATTCTTTAGCCATTGGCGCGTCAGTCCGGGAGGGCAGTACCGCTCAGAATGTAGCAACACGAGTTCTTTTCTGGCCGTTGTCTTCATTCCAAGTAGAAATCTTTCGTACTCGCCGATACTGGGCGACGACTCGGCAAGGCCAACGAGCAGAATGCAGTCAGCTTGCGTAATGCAGGTCTGCGTCCATGGGGAGTTCACGTTGGTGTCTGCGATATAAAGTACCATCCCATACTTTTCCTCGAGGTCGGCCAAATACTGGGACAACTTCAATTTCCCCATCTTACTGAAAGCATGTCGTCCGAGATGGTTCAGGATCGCCGCTTGGTTGAGGGAGGTAACACCATTCGTCACGCCGATCTGGTGAAGTGCGTTCTGCAAGCGATGGCCAAATTCTACCACGGGGACTCCAGCCGTTACGGGGAGTATACCAACGGTTCGAAGATTTACCACAGAGGAGGCGGTCTTGACGCTGCCAGCGTTGACATGCTCACCTCCCTTTTCGGACATGGGAAGTTCAACGAGATCTCGCATCCGCTGAGCAATGAGCTTCGAGACCTGGATAGTAATTCCCGGGTGCTCCTGCGCAAGACTATTGAAAAGGGATCGTGGGAATTTAGCTAGCTCGGTGTCCCGAATGGCGTGTAGAGTCGCCGGGCGTGTCGACTCTGTCATGACCTCTAGCTCCCCTACGCTTTCTCCCTGGCCATACTCGCCAACGACTGTGATCTTGCCATCTGTACCTTCGAGAACAGACCGTAGACGCCCGTTTAAGACAAGATAGATTGCATCACTCTCGTCCCCCTGATGATAAATGACTTGGCCCGCATTCACTTGCACCCATTCTAAAGCGAAGTCGATGTGAAGGAGCAAGCGAGGAAGAAGGCTTGTCAATCGCTTTGCCAGGGTTAAAAGTGCAATAGGGTAGCGCTCGGCGATCCTCTCCAAGGACGACCTTGGAAGGAACCCGACATACACATCTGTTTTCGCCACCACATCCGTATAGGACCTGTAAGATGCAACGGATCCGACGTATCCTTGAATGCCACCAGGCTTGATAAGATAGAGTGACTTCCGCGACTGCTTTTTCCGCTTATTATCGTTTGTGCCACTCGTCATAACTGATGCACGAGAGGAGCTGGTCGTCGTCCGCTTCAGAGTCGGAAAGAATTCCTCGTGTGGCGGCCCATATGCCGGTCTCGAACCGCCCACAAGATCATCTCCTTTGTCAGATACAGGGATACCTACATCTAGGAATCCGTCGATCACATAGTAGAGGCCTGGATGGCGTTCCCCTTGCTCCACCAGAACTGAACCCTGGGGGAAATAGACGATCTCAATGTCGTTTCGAAGTTCTTCTCGCAAATTGATGATAGGCGACGTCCCACCAGCGCTGGTCATGGACATTGACATCATTGATTCCGTCTCACCATCCGCCGAACCATCGTAAGGGTCGATGAAGCCGAATGCATTGTTAGTGAACACAGCCTTTTGCCGCCGAGAATCGTATGAAAGAAGCTTTGGGGATATGTCCCCAGAGGTGTGGCTGCTCTTACGTAAGACATCACGAGTGCTGCTGGTAAGTCCGATGCCATTCATGATGCAGTCCAGGATGGATTCTCTGAACAGGGCATCCTCGTCAACAGAGTCCTTCTTTCGGTGGAAAGGCGAGCTGTGCATAACGGGAGCCATAAAAGGAGGGTTCTCTTTATCTGTTAATGGGCTGAGCAGTTTAGGAGCTAAATGTTCGTATCGAGGGCCAAACCGGGAGAGTTGAATGGTAGACAACAGATCCCCGGGGCTCGGCCCTGCCGACTCGCGGTCACCGGGGATATCCTCTGGGCTGGCCATGGTCAATGGTCGCTTCGGTTGCGCTGCCATCTTTGCATGGAGAACCGCTTCTTTCCTCAGGAAGCTACTGGACCGGCGTCTTCTGCCAGCAGAAGGATTGTGGAGTGCAATGCCCTTGATGATCTCTTCCGGGCCCAGGCGGTCTCGCTCTTTGATAAATTTGTCCTTGAGGCGATCCAACGCCGCTCCACGCATTTCGTTGGGCAGGTCCTGAGTCGTGAACTTGGTCATCTGTTTTTCAATGCCCAGCACATCATTGTTGAGACCTAGATAAGAATGTGCCGTGGCAAACGTTACTCTTTGGAGTCGTGTCAGGATCACCTGGACAATATGGGCGGTCGCTTTCGGATATACTCTCGTCAGGCGGCGAAAGGCGCTGGCCGGGATGATAGCAATGGTCGTGTCCACCATGGCTCGAGCCACAATATCCGGATGGACTGACTTGCGCCGTCTCTTGCCCGGGTGGTTCCGTGGTTCCAAGTTAGGTTCATGGTTGGGCATAGCATGGCCTTCTCCTAGGTTTAGGGGCGGGACGGACGGCAGAAGTTCCCCATTACTGTTGCTTATATGGGCGACAGAGTCACCATGATCTCTAATAAAATTAGAACGAGGGCTGTCCTCCAAGCCGTGAGGACTCGCCGGGAACGAGTCAGATACCCGAGCAATAGTGCTAGGGCCTACGCTGGATGCACTAGAAGACGAGCCTTCGCTGGCTCGTAGTTGAATATCCTCGGTGAACAAGGACAGGATGGAGAACAAGGACGACATCGAGGCGCCGTTTTTGACTTCCGTAAGAAGTTGGTAACCTTGCTTTCCGTCCATATGATGATCGTCCTCATCAGAAGACTCTGCCCCCATGCGGGTTGAACAATCGTCTACGTTTGATTTCCCGTCGCGCATGGACTTGACGAATATCTGGACCAAACCATCAACTACTAGACAGAAGCCTTTCTCTTCCTCCAGCATCAAGGTTTCCCCCGCAATCAGCTTCCTCGTTTGCATGGTTCGAGTCAATTCATGGAATACAGGGCGTTCCAGATAACCAAAGACCTTGATGGCGCTTAAGAATTCGTCAAGGTAATTGGCCAGGCCCGGTTTGGAATCCCCTTCCTGGACATCGGGGAAGAGATCGAGATCGGGTTCTTTGCGTTGGGGCTCCGGAGGTAGACGACTATACATATTCAAGAACCGGTAACGAATGAACCAACTGATGGTCGATACGATCGCCAGCGCGATTAACAAGCTATGGGTCAATTGAAACATTGTGTTAGCGTTTCACTGCGCGATCGACAGAGTGTCCCATTGCACGGGGTCGGAAGCTTACAGGGTGGTGAAATTCATAGTGAAGGTCAAACTCATTGAAAAGAGCGTGAATAGCCATGTGGGCAGCGTGATAGTTGCAAACGTTATCACCCAGTATAGGATGCTTGGGATAACCTGGAAAAAGAAGGAAAACACCCATCCGATCCACCCCACCATGGTTGAAGGCGTAGGAGGGGATAACGGCGGGGGTGGAATAAGAGAATTTGTAAAGGTCGAAGGCACGGAAAAGCTGGCGGCTATAGCGGGAGCAGATAGGGCGAGGGACGAAGCAGTGTAGGTTGAGGAGGGTGAGGGAGATGCATGAAGAGGGCTTAGACTTGAATCGAGAGACGCAGACGAGGCCGCGAGGGGACCACCGTCGGCGGCCATGGTTGTTATTGCGTAGAATGGGATTGGGCTGGAAACACGTTGTTGGATGGAGACTTAAGCCGCTAAACTAGCTTAAGGAAAGCAACTAAAAGGCCCCAGTGGAAATCAAGGAACGCAAAAGAATTCGAGGTCTCCGCCACCCATGAAACCGTCCATCCAGCAAAAAGATGCGATGACGACAGAGGGTAAGTTCCAGTATGCGAGATTCAATGATTGATTAGCTTTCGCTCAGGGACTCCGATGCGAGTAATGTCGCCAACCACCCCCCTACTCACGAGCCACAACGTGCTCTCAGATGCCCAGTTGGCTGGATCGTGAAGAATGAGAGTGGTCCCTTTTGAGTTTCAAACGGGGTTGGTTTCGTAGGATCAACTCGGAAAGCGGAGAAAGAGAGCAGTACGAATTCAGTTTAGGTCGATCACGGGAGTCCGCGCCTGGGTCATTGGACTTGCTCTCTTTTTGGACTTGGGGATATACACAATAGAACTTGGAACAAATCAGAAGGATAGAGAAAACTCAAAGTGGCAGTAAACGAACGTGCCAGAAGAGGATGTTGATCCATCATGTGAATGATCCATTTCTGTTACGTTTGGCATATAAACCTGGCAAAGGCCGAGACTGAGGATGTGCCTGACTGTGGATGCACTTCTGACGGATCCACCTGCAAATTTTCCCGTAACCTAAAATGGCAAGCACTAAAACTGCGACTGTGACTGGAAGTAAACCCGTTTAATTAAAAAATTAAAAATAAAGAAAAGTGAGGTCGACGTCATACCGCGGCAGAACAGGGTGGATATGGATTTGTTATGCTTCGGGTTAGTCAGCAATGCGGTTATGCACAAGCGCTTGGCAGCCTGAGGCGCATTATCTCAATAGACTACCTGTATATATCATGTGATGGTGACCAGAGCACTGACTATGGCCATTCTTTCCTGCTATTTTCCTTCTTTTTACTTCCTAGATTGGGCCAGCTGGTTCGTTTCCAATATTGATCCTTTTCTATACCTGCAATTGCCGATGATTAACCTGTTGAGGAGAAAAGGGAAGCCAAACGGGTCAATTGCCGGGCGATAGTCTAAATTACAAATGGATCAAAATATAGTGAATTCCAAAGTAGAATCTAGAGCTACTCATCCAGGGAGTATCATCTTGACACCCTCACATTAAACGGTCAACGACAAAGTATTAGTATTGTATTCATTTTATTCTTTTTTTCTGCCAGTCTTGGCGGCCCAATCAAGTCAACTCAGCAGCACATCCCGCTGACAACGAAACACCACCGCCTAGTCCATCTGTCCTATGCCCCCTTCCACTCTTTACCTTCTCCTTCTTACTTTAATAACTGCTTCTCGTCTCTTTCTCGTCTGTTTCTATCTTATTGATCAAGCTGTGGCCCTGGCTCACAGGCCCGCCACGGTCATGTTTCAGGTACAGTATTTCCGGATCCATTTATTTATGGAACTCCTTCGGGGGTTAGCCTCACGTGTCGAACAAATTCCCCGGATTTGATATGTTAACGCTCGATTTGATCGCAACTCACAGCGTATCCGCGACGCGATCGACTCCCGCATCGCAGAGGAGCAAGCCCGGCAGAAGTCTGCTCAGGACTCCCTCGCCCGCTCCAACTCCGCTCGTCGTCCCACTCGCAATGTATCCCCGAGCAGACGAACTACCCGCCCCCGACGGAACACCGGCACCCCCGTCCGTGGACCGGATCCCAACGAATTCGAGCCCGAGTTCGCCATTGGAGAGGATGAAGGCTCGAGCAGATCAGCCACCCCCCGCTTGGAGACCGCAGGCTCAGAGGAAAATGCTGAGGAGAGCAAACCACCGGCGGAGGAGTCGTCCGCCGGCAAGGAGAATACAAATGCCCCAGAGACAAACCAATCTTCTTCGGAGCTGCCGCCTGAGGTCAGGGTAAAGCTGCGGAGATTGGGCAAGCTGGAATCTCGGTATCAGGGTATGTACTGAGTCGATACCACGGGGACTTGGGCCATGGCGCTAACTGTTGTGTGATTTGTAGAGCTCTTGAAAGCTTATCGGATGGCCCACTCGCGTGTCCTATCTATCGAACCTTTCGAAGCGGCTTTGCGTGAGAACACCCCGTTGGCTTCTATTAGCGATCCGAAGGCGTTGACAGAATACCTCAACCAAATCTCATTAAAAAGCGACATGGTTCTGGAGGAGCTGAAGCGGGTGTCCACAGAGAGAGATGACTACAAGAAGAAAATGGAGGAAGCTCAGAAGGCCACAAAAGCAGCATACGATGAGGTCACTAATCTGAAGGAGAATAAAAAGGAAGAGGATGCCTCGACAATAAGCGATAAAACGATCGTTGATAGCTCTACCTTGAATGATAAATCTTCCACCACTTCGAAGCAGGATTCTGCCAAGGAGGAAAGCGAAGAGTTTTTCTCTTTTGATAACGAGATCCCACGCCTGGAGACCGAGTTGAAAGAAAAACAGGAAGAGATCGAAACGCTCAAGTCTCAGGCAGACAACCTCAAACGGGACCTCTCGGTGGCAAGGGAGTCAACAGAGGGGATGGTGCACAATTTGGAGACCGCGACCCGAGAGCTGGTGGAGCTGCGTGATATCAAGGATAAACAGGATTCGGAGATTGAGAAGCTCAAGGCTTCGAAGCAGGAAGAGATCGAGGCGCTCACGGCGAAGCTGGCAACGTCCGAGACCACCATCGAGAACGCTCAAAATGAGGTTGAAAAACTGAAGGTGGAGCTGAAGCAGAAAACAGATGAAATTGAGCAGCTTCAGTCGCAACCTGTGAAGCCCGAGGATGCTGAGGAGCAGGCGGAACTTTCAGCAAAACTAGACAAAGCCAAACAAGAAAAGGAAGCCAATGAGAAGCGGCTCGGTGTTCTCCAGAACCTTGTGGATAACCTTCGTTCCCAGCTCAAGGATATGGAAGACACGATGACAAGCCTCAAGGCGGATATGAGCCGAAAGGAGGAGCTGCAGAATATTGTTGATTTCCTTGACAACAACCTGAAAGACAACACGGCATGGAAGCAAGCCAAGGAACAAGTTGCGGGTGGAAAGCAAGCCAGTTTCGAGGAGCTCCGGGACAGTCTGGCGCCTGCGAAGAACGGTACCGAGGTGAAGAATGAGACACCCGAACCCAAACCCCAACCGACCAACTCCACCGGTGCCACGGGAGCTTCTAAAAAGAAGAACAAGAAGAAGAAGAAAGGTGGCAAGAGTGGCGGTGATGACACGAGCAAAACTGCAAGTGCTCCAGCTGCCGAAGAGACGCAGACACCGGTAGCCGAGCCAGACCAGAAATCGTCGAACACGAATGAGCTCGAGCAGAAAATCGAATCTTTGACGCGCCAAGTGGAAGAAAAAGACGCAGCCATCGATCGCCTCAGCTCGAAGCTCAAAGGGGAGGAGGGCCTGAAAGAGGAGATAGAATCTCTTCGGGATGACTTGCTTAATCTTGGACAAGATCACGTCGAGTCAAAAGATAAACTCAAAGTGTTGACTGCCGAAAAGAAAGCTCTGGAAGAGACAATCGTCAAACTGGAGAAAGAGCTGGTTGACTTGCGCACGAGCACTGCGACTAAGGATGCCGACTCTGAAAAGGTGCACAATGGACTGAAGGAAGAATATGAAAACCTCAAGGTCAAACTTACTACCCTAGAAACCGAGCTATCTGCTGCCCAACAGTTAGCTTCTACCCGATTCAAGGACCTTACCGACTTGCGAGAGACCCTCCAGAAGCTGCAGCCTGAGCTGAAGAAACTGCGAGCTGAATCTACTGAGCTCAAGTCAACCAAAGAGACTTTGACTACTAAGACCGCCGAATTGAGGACTCTTGAGGGCAAGCAAGAGGATTTGCGTGCTGAGTTGAAGAGCCTCAAGACGACGATATCGGAACGAGAGTCAGAAGTGAAGACGCTCAACCAGAAGATCAGACAAGAAACGGACAATCGTTTGAAGGCTGAAGAGAGACTGACCGTCGCTCAATCAGATCTACGCTACTCGGAGAGCAAGAAGCAAGAAGCTCTGGAAGCGAAGGAGCGGATTTCCAACGACCTGTCTAAGGCCCAGGAAGACTTGAAGGCCACCCGGACTCAGCTACGCGAAGCTCAGAACCAAGTTACGCAGGTGAACAAGGACCTTGAGGGTCTGCGGGAGGAAATCCAGTTGAAGACCGCTCAGCACGCTAGCGCGCAGAGTCTGATGAATAGCATGCGCGACCAGGGCGCCGAGATCGGAATGCAGATGAAAGAGGCGCGCGAACGCTGCGAGAGTCTGGAAGAGGAACTGGCGGATGCTCATCGGTTGCTGACGGAAAGGACCCGTGAGGGAGAAACTATGCGGCGGCTCTTGAATGACATCGAAGGCCGCACCGAATCTAAAGTTCGCGATTTCAAGGAGCGGATGGAGGCAGCCATTGAGGAGAGAGACCGTGCTGAAGATGAGGCTAGTGCTCAGGGCCGCCGTCGGGCGCGGGAGCTGGAGGAGCTGAAGAACAAGGTCCGAGACGCCGAAAAGGCACTGCGCAGCGCCGAGGAGGACAAAGAGGAGCTCGAGATGTCGCAGAAGGATTGGAAGCGCAGACGGGACCAACTGGAGGAGCAGGCCGAGCGGTCGACGCAGGAACTCAATGATGTGCGACAGGCAATGGCACGTTTGCGCGATTCGCTGGATGAAAGTGAGAAACAAGTCCGAGACCTAGAGAAAGAAAAGGCAGAACTCCGTCGGTCGGTTGAAGAAACCAGCGCGCGACTGGACAAGTTGCGCCGGTCCAACAAGGCTCTATCGGAAGAGGCTCGTTTGGTACGAATCCCCAGTCATCGCGGTCTTCAATCGACTCTGGGTCCCGCAGGGCAATCACTTCGCCGGTGCCCAAGGGCCGCAGCCCATCCGTTCAGGGGAGCGACACGCCCACAGGAGGAGCAAATGCGCCTATTGATTATATTTATTTGAAGAACGTTCTCCTCCAGTTCTTGGAACAGAAAGACAAAAGTTACCAGAAGCAGCTCATCCCAGTTTTGGGCATGCTGCTTCATTTTGATCGGTATGTCTGAATTTCCTTCCAATACTACGTTGATATGCTATGTGATACTAATCCAGAACAGGACGGACGAACAAAAGTGGATGTCAGCCATCATGTCTCGATAGACTTCTTAATTCTAAGGTTATGATATTTCGAGATATGACTTAGGTACTGTATTATAATATTTTATTGGTACATAGTAAGATCATATTTCTTCCATCTATTTACTTCTTTCTTCTTTCTTATCCTCTGTGGTGCAAAAGCAAGTGGATCATGTCAATCATAAGGCGTGGCACTAAAAAGCGAGGGCTAGTGGGTCTGCTCCAAATACTTAAACTGTGGGGTTCCTTCGACGCTTCCGAGTCACAAATTTGACGACATCTCTTGACAATTGACAAGACCAACATTAGCCACCATGTCTGACCAACCGACCATTAGACTCGCGACGCCCGAAGGTGAGTGCCAGACGTGGTCAACATCATGGCTAAATGCCGCTGTCCGCCCAGTTTCCGCCCCGCATAAATCTGCCATGAAAATGCCAGACTAACTCTGGCCTGGCGTCCAGACGTCCCCCTAATCCTCCAGTTCATCCGCGAACTGGCCGACTACGAAAAGGCCCTTCATGAAGTAGAGGCCACCAACGAATCCCTCCTGGAAACTCTCTCCTTCCCCGACAGCCCTCCCAAGCGGGGCTCCGTATATACCGCGCTCATCACTCCCCCTGCTACCCCGGACAATGCCACCCCCACCCCCGTGGGCATGGCCTTATACTTCTATAACTACTCGACTTGGCGCTCGGCGCCGGGTATCTACCTGGAAGATCTCTACGTGCAGCCCGTGGCTCGTGGTAGGGGATATGGGTTCAAGCTGTTGAGGTATTTGGCGGCTAAGGTGCTGGAGGTCAATGGACGCCGGCTGGAGTGGAGTGTGCTCAAGTGGAACGAGCCCAGCATCAAGTTCTACGAGCAGATTGGGGCAAAGGGTATGGAGGATTGGATGAAGATGATGGTGGACGGCGATGCCTTGACCAAGCTGGCAGGGGGGCTGTGATACAAAAATTAAACTATTAATGATATTCGCGGCACATAACATGGAAAAACACATAATTGAAATACAGAGAACATAATGCTCATACGAACCAAGCTGTACACTTCTTTCCCTCATGGCTTCTACTCTAAGAAGCGCTCTCCCATCCTCTCTATTCAGCCGGGGAACCAAACACTTCCATATGAATCCGGTCCTCCTGCACACCCATATCTTTCAAAGATTTACTCTGCGCATTCATGAACAGCTTCGGCCCACAGATATAGTAATCCGCATCCGGGAGGACGACCTGATCCTTAATCTTGTGGAGATCCGCCCTGCCTGTGAAGTCATAGTCGACGCCCTGCGTGTCCCCTTGATCAACCTCTTCATAAAACACCGCACGATGAACCTGTGGATTCTCAGAGATGATCTTCGCCAAGCGGTCCTTCATTGCATGCACGCGCCCATTCCGCACCGCATGAATGAAGACCACGCGCCTCGACCCTCCCTGATCCACAACAGTCTTCAACATGGACATCATCGGCGTCAGCCCAACCCCACCACTAATCAGCACGACCGGCGTAGTCGCATTAACATCCAACACGAAATCCCCAAACGGCATACTAACATCCAGCTCCGCACCCACCGGCAAGCCCTCATGCAGCACATTCGAAATGCGTCCGGCCGGTTTGGGTCCCAGCGCAGACTCCCTCTTCACCGAGATCTGGAAGTACTCTCCATTCGGCACATCCGACAAGCTATACTGCCGGGGTTGGTAGACCCCCAACTCCGGGACGAAGCACTTCACGCTGACGAACTGCCCGGGCTTATACGCCGGCAGCGCAGCCTTATCGATCGGCGTGAGGTAGAATGAGATGATCTCCTCGCCTTCATGGACCTTCTTCGAGATGAAGAACTTCCGCCACCCCTTCCACCCGCCCGGCGTTGCTTCCGCCTGCCGGTACAGCTCGCTTTCAAAGCCAATGAAGTACCCCGCCAGTTCCCCGTAGGCGGCTTTCCAGGCATCGAGAACCTGGTCGTCCACCGCGTCGCCTAGCACCTCTTTGATGGCGGCCAGAAGGCCCTCCCCGACAACCGGGTATTGGTCCGCCGTGATCCCCAGACTGGCGTGTTTATGGCCGATGCGCGAAATGGCCGTTTTCAGGGCCTCCGGGTGCTCGATGTTGGTGGCGTACGCCCAGACGGAGTGGGCGAGGGCGGCGGGTTGTTCGCCTGTGGCTTGGTGGGCGGTGTTGAAGATGTTCTTGAGCTCGGGGTGTTGCTGGAGGAGCCGCTGGTAGAAGAGAGTGGTGATTGCGACGCCGTGGGATTCCAGTGCAGGGATCGTGGACTTGACGATTTGGATTTGCTGGGGGGTGAGCTTGTGTCTGGAAGTGGTTGTTGTGAAGCCTCTGGCCAGGGGCAGGGCCAGGCGGGGGAGGACGAGTCTTGGGATGAACATTGTTTTGGATAGCATTGGTATAAGCAGTTTTGAATTACATGTTTGGATATCAGGATTGGCTCTGGAAAGGGCGGTTCTTTTAACCATGTGCTTTCTCCGCGGAATTGACTTTTGATGCGACTTAATTAGGGTTTGAGTTTACTGGTGACGTGGTGACGTGACCCAGATGTCACCCAATCCTTCTCCTATTGGAACTTATTACATTAGCTATAATATGATTGGAGATGTCACTGCCATGCATATATCCTGGACGCCGGCTACTATGCAATCCCAATTCAAGGGTGGAGCTTACAACCCTCACAGGGCTGCGGCGGCAGCGCACTATAGTACAACGACGGCCTCGGCTCCCCCGAAACATTCAAAAACCCCTTGGCGCCCTTCTCCAGACGAAAAATGGCATGATCCACTATGGTGTACGTCCCCGGGACGACCATCTTCATATCCACAATAGTCGACCCGCCCGCGGGCACACTAACCGTCTGCACGCACTGCGCCGGCGGACTCAGCACATCCGAATCGCGATACACCTTACTGAAACAGGTGCCGATGACATGAAACGAGCTGGTGAAATTCGGGCCCCCGTTGCCGAAGAAGATGCGAACGGTATCGTCGAGCGAAGCCTTGAGCGGCTTCTCGGTGAGGGCCGCCTCGCTGCCGTTGAACACCACCACGTCGGCGGCTTCGCGCAGCGCATGCGGCCACGAGAACTCGACCGTCGATGACATCTGTCCGTCGTCGTCGGCTTCGGGCGCTCGTGGTAGAACTCGCTTT